ATTCATTCCCGTAGCATCTGGAAATTCTTATCACATAAAAATATGTTCTTGAAAAGAATTTCCTCAACTTTGTTCCACGATTATTACTGCAAAGAAGAATCCTTGTCATAATGCCCCATAGCAAGATATATATTCCAATAGGTTCTTGGAAAGAATTTCACAGGGCAGAGTATCTGTATCCCCAGGGTGTGATTATCTCAATAAATAATAGTCCAATTAGAAGATCATCTGCCCTAATAACAAGGCTGAGATGCAATCTAGAGATTGTAGTACTTCGGCCTGTGAAACAAATGGAGAGAACCAGCCTCACCCTCTGCAAAACCTATTAATTGGCACACAAAACAAAACACTCAATACGCTGTCTCAGTCTGCATGAATATAGTAGAAAGCTGTTCTATCATATCAAAAAGGCTGTTGGAGATTTGGAGGCTCAGACTTTCGCTGTTCAGGGATGAGCAGCCTTCCCTCTGCACGAATTCATGCGAATTTTTACAAAAATTTGGAACCAGCTGTAAGATACACAGAAGACAATAAACATTATTAGCTTGTGCAAAGATACATTTCACTAAAAAACAAAAAAGGTGATTAGGGATGAGACTGACTCTCTAATTTAGGAGAATTTCAAAAAGCAAACAAATGGTTTCACACTGACTGTGGCTTTCTTGCTTAGAAATGGGAGAGCTCAGGAAAAAAAAGATCAGTTTTCCCAATTAGCAACAGATTAACGTTAGATATTCTGGGATTAAGGCGAAAGAGTGGAGAGTCCAAGAATGCAAGACAACATCTTACATGCTCCAGAATGAATGACTACATAAATACAGTTGAATAATCTCTACTTCCACAAAGGACAAATACAGAAATGAGTGATGCACAACTAAACAAAAAAATGCTCATCAGCAAGTGTGATTGGAAGAACAGGGAAGGTAGCCTTACTTGGTTGTATCTCCCACTCACTCCGGCAGCCAGACCTAAATGTTCTTAGCTAGTCCTGTAAGGTGGTGGGAATTAAGAAAGAGACCAAGGACCATATTCCTGCTCTGCAAATGCCACAATATTGATGAAGATGCTCACGGTGGCTTATTGCTGTGAAGGGGCAGAAATATCCACAGGGTAGCAGCAGCTGCGACCTTCCAGCATGGGCTAAACAAGCAGGCATCCACCTAGTGATTGAGACCTTGCAGAGGGCAGAACTTTGTGGAAAGGGAATAAAGGGATTAAAAGAGACTAGCCTTATTTTCCTAAGCAGAATCCGGTGGCTTTAGGGAAAGCCAGGTTATATGTAACTGGTATTGCTGTAACAACAAAACATACACTACTAGAAGGAAGATTTCAAAGGGCTTCCTATTCAGAGAGACTTTGCTCCTGTGGATCCAGGGAGGAAGAAAACTCGCACCCATCTCATAAGGTGCCCTATGATGCCCCAAGACACTCTTTAATTGCTCTAATCATTTCCAAATACTAGGGCTACACAAATACATTTTATATTTATTATCGTTTAAAGGGTGCTAACCCTACGCTCACTGATCGGGCAGCAAAATATTTTCACCATGTTATACACCTGTGCAAAAATTTTAAGTAGACATGCTGTTTATTGCCCTATTAATATTTTTTCTCTTCCCCAATAACTCATTGCTGTATTAAGCAATTTCTCTTCGGATGGCACTCTTTTATGGTAAAGGCTGGTCAAAGATTGTAATAAAGATAAACAACCTGTACAAAATATTGACAGAGATATGAAATATTTACAGGGAGCTTAATGAATATTTCCCTATTAAATAAACCTGCCCATGATCAATATTATAGAAAGCCCCCTCTTCCCCCCAGAGAACAATTTAGATTTAGATTTTTAGATTTAGATTTTATTAACATTTGTAGGCCGCCCTTTTCCCTGAGGGGACTCAGGG